AGCTGCGCCGCGCGGGGAGGAGTAAAACCCGAGAACGGAACGGTGTGTGTGATCCTGTGAGGTAAAGAGCTCGGGAGACAAAGGCATGCGACAAAGGCCATCCGCCGAGCAGGCTGTTTGAACGCCCCCGCAAGTCACAGCAGAGAGCGGGGAAAACAAAATCGTCCGGAATGTATATCCAGACGTAGTAGTAGTACTCTCTCTCTCTCTGAGTGTGTGTGTGTGTGTGTGTGTGGTCTGCCGCCGAGACCCACCAGTGTTCACGCGCAACAAGGCATCACACAAATACGAGCCACATCAGCGCGCATCAGCGGGTCCAGGCGTTTGAACCCGGCTCGCTCTTCGGTTCGGTGTTAGTTTGCGGTGAGAATTGGCGAACAGGTGGGCCCTCGGTTAGGGCGGCGGAGGGTGGAGGCACTCTGCCGCGGCCACGGTGGTCAAATATTCATACGTCCTCTGTCTCTGCCTCTGCCTCTGCCTCTGCCTCTGCCTCTGCCTCTGCCTCTGTCTCTGTCTCTCTCTGAACTGAACGTTCCACGTCCGGCAGTCACTGATGTACAGCTATAAGACTTTTTAGTCTTCTTGTACACTTTTCAATAATTATCAATTATCTCTCTCTCACCTCCTGCCGCAGCCTGGCCACCTCCTCCCAGGAGCGGGCGTCGTCGACGGCGAAGACGAGGATGAAGGCGTTGGCCCTCTTGATGGACAGCTGGCGCATGGCCGGGAAGGCGAAGGCGCCCGACGTGTCCAGGATGTCGAGGGTGAGCGAGGCGCCGTCTGGAAGCGAGTACTCGGCGTGGTGCAGCTCCTCGACCGTCTCGCGGTACTTCTCGATGAACCTGTCGACGGCAAGCAAAAGAAATAATAAAATAAAAATACAATCAATCGAGACAAGCGGTAACAGATTCAAACAAACAAGGTTTACAAGGATGCGGAGGGGCTGCTTTTCTCAAACTATAGAGAGGAAGGGGAACGTTTTAACACACGGTCCAGCCATTCCATTCGGAAACGTTCAAACCAGCGAGCGAAAGCAAATTCCAATTATTTCTACGTCGTTTAAAGGCGCGGCGGTCTCGACAGGTATGAAGAGGGGGGAGCGGGGACGTCCCCCGCCTGTCCCCCACGTAGTCACGGACAAAAGCCGGCGGGGGGAGAGCCGCGCTTCGAAGAAGAGGGGGGCTGCGCCGGGATCTGCTCTCCCCGGCCCCCCCGGCCACAAAGCTTGCAAATGGTGGAGCAATTGCGCGCTCCGTGGGCTTTGGGAGAGAGAACGGCCGGCCAGGGCCAGTGGGCGCGGGCGGCGGGAGGGATCGGAAAGGAGGGGGGAGGGTAAGGGGAGGGGGGACAGGGCAGGGCTCACGGACAGAATCCCTCCTTGATCCACCCCTGGCGCGCGGCGCACATGTGTTCTCGCGGCGACATCGATTGAATTCGCAAGGAGGTTAGCCGAATCCCTTGCAATTCCCCCGCTGAGCCCTCTATC